ACGTTACTGTCTGAACCACAGCTTATCCACCCTTGGTCTTCTACATCCCTCTCTTCTTTCTTATCCCTCAGATAGCGTGGATTAGGGCGATCTGCTGCCCTACTTTCCTGCTCCTCAACACCCAGTTGAGGGACCCAACACAGAGATTGAGTTTCTCTGTTTGGCATTTTTCCTTTTGTTTCAGTTCGGCCAGCGCAGTTTTGGAAGATGATAGATGGGATTTTTCAACTATCATTAACCTTGTTGGTTCGAGCTGTGCTTGTACTGCCAAGAGAAGGGGAAGTCTTGGTCTTTATCCCATTCACTTTTAAAATTGTAGCAGTTATAGCTTGTCATTGATGCTTTAAAAGAGAAGCCCCAGGCTTTTGAAGAAAAAGTTCAAGGAAAGTTTTATGACTCCAGTCCTTGGGGGAGGTAACATCTCGTGCTTCTTCCTAGGCTGCATGTATTTCTGATACTCTTTCAATAAAATTACTCTCATTTATCAAAAAAAAAAAAGTTTTATGACTTTGGTCTTGCCACTGAAGATGTGGAATTCATCCCATGACCTATTATTATATGCATTTTTTAGGATGTATACCTAGAGCCAGATCTAGATGTTCAACAGAAGCTAATTGACAAGTTGCAGATCGGGCCAATTCCTGCAAAGCCGATGAAGCTTGATCACATAGATACTGTGGTTTCCATGCTAGGCATTAAGCAGAAGGGTCTTATGTTATAATCCAACTGAAGATCTCTATTCTTTTGATGGCTTTGAATCTAAGTACTAGGAGTTGATTTTCTAGTTATTAGATAAACTTTACATAGTTCTTCAAAACTTGGCAACAAGTTTTTGAAATGGCAGGAGGATCATGCGGATGTGGAAAAAGAGAAAGATAACATTGGAATAAGAAACCAGTTTTTTCCTGTTTCATTCTCCAGTGGCAGTTTTTTAAAAATTGGGATTTTCTTTCTTGTCTCATAGGAACCTGGGAAGCTATATGAAGCCAGTCCAAATTGGTGCACCAGTAATCTGAAGGGATCTCTCTGCTGATCTCTACTAATGTCAAGATTTGTTTTAAGGTTTTTGGGAATGAAATTGAAATCTGTATCATCTTGTGTGATGAAGACCTTCTTGGGGTGGGAGG